TCTCCTGCCTTGTCAGTGGCATGCCTACTCACCAACAACCCTGCCCCATTTATTTAAATAACAAGTTCAGTTGGTCAAATAAAAATTAAAGAGAAGCAGAAAATTTATGAAAATGATTAATTTATATGGAACATACCAAACAAAATCTGAACCATTTTTATAACTTTTTTCTTTTTCTTGTTGGCCATATTGCTGACAAAGATGTATATAATCATGCAATAATTTTAATCTACAAAACAGAGCACTGATTGGGCAAAAACCCAATCTAGTCCTCTATCCAAAATCATAAATTGGTTAGTTAATATCAGAGAAACAGAGCATTTATGAAAATGATTATACAAAATAAACACTATTTTACAACTTCCCTCTTAACATCAGAGTCCAAATGCAATTTCAGGGCCACAAACCCTGCTCTGAATTGTGACCTCCTGTGCTTGGAACAAGTTGCAGGTTCTCGTTGCTTTGATGGATCTGGATATTTACATGGCACTACAATTCATCTGCAGAGTTGCGACTTGGTCACAGTGCCACCCTTGCCCTAGAGGTGGGATCATTACAGGCAACTTTTCATCCAACATGGCAGCAGCATCTCTGGTCTGGGAAGATAAGTGAAAGCGTCATTGACGATTGATGCAGTCTCGGTAAACTCCAGGACACGTCCTCCCCCCCCTGGAATTCAATTGCATCATTGTATCTTCGGGGGACACTAGTCAGATTAGCCTTGTGTACACGAGGAAGATGTGAATGACTGTAATGTGTTCAAGGTAGCGTGCATGCTTCAACGTCTGCCAATTTCCAATAATCAAATGTTGCATACTCAAAATGTTTCGTATTTGAAATGTCTCTTTTCAACAGTGTGCTGCCTTGACATCTTCTTGTAATTATATAGTAATATTAATATTATTAATATTATTGATTACGAAAAGCAAAATATTATCAATGAAAATCTTGTAAATGCCCAACAAGATCTGCTCCGCGTTTTGATTTCCAATTTAAAATGTTTATAAACCAAAATAAAATATCAATCAATACAAGTAAAAAAAGGTACCTCTGGTTAGTTATTAGCACTTCTTCTTTAGGAGACCCAAAACCAAACCAAACAACAACGTTCACGTTTTGTCACCTTGGACTCTGTCAAAAAATAAATTGTTTTTCCAAGAAGAAAAAAAAAATCAATTCGCGTCTGTCCTACCAAAAAAAAAACCAATAGGATAAATAATTAATGTGTACGCGTCGATCACACAAACTTCTTTTTAAAAATTAATAAATAAAATGTCTTCAAGAGGATCGAAAAAAAGAACCAAAACCCAAGAAGAAAAAGAATTTGCCAGGTAAGTGTTTTAAGGATGTTGATGGTGGTTATCGCCCGCCACTCGTCGTTACTCTAGTTATTATTAAAAAAATGTCTTTTTTTTTCAAAAAAAAGAATTCAAGAAAAAGAATTGGTTGAAAGAAGGTAAATGTTTATTAAAAGGATGGTAGTTATTGCCACTCGTCACTCTTCTTCAAGAGGATCGAAAAAAAGAACCAAAACCCAAGAAGAAAAAGAATTTGCCAGGTAAGTGTTTTAAGGATGTTGATGGTGGTTATCGCCCGCCACTCGTCGTTACTCTAGTTATTATTAAAAAAATGTCTTTTTTTTTCAAAAAAAAGAATTCAAGAAAAAGAATTGGTTGAAAGAAGGTAAATGTTTATTAAAAGGATGGTAGTTATTGCCACTCGTCACTCTAGTTCTATTAAAGAGAATGCTGGTGGTGGTTACAATCCTCGTAACTCATTGTCATTATAATTTTTTATTTTTTTCCTTCATCAACCCAATTAATTTTTTCATTTCTAAAAAATGTCAATCGTGATAAAAAAGAAATAAAAAAAAGGTGATTAAAGAACAAGCATACAAGTAAGTATTATAATTAGTTATTATAAAAAAAATAGCAATTATCACCATTCTAGTTATTTATGAAATTTGTTTTTTATTTAATTTCTGAATGGCCATCAACAACTACTCCAAAATGTAAAAATTCAAGTGATGACATTTTTAATATTGATGCTGAGGAGGAGATGACAGAAAGACTATTTGATGAAAGAAGTGAAGAGGACTTACTAAAATTAATTGATGAAAATAGCATATGCGAGGTAAACATTCATTGTTATTACATACAAGCATTTGTGACTAAGCATATTGTATGCTCATTACTCTCATCAATTATCCCTAATAGGATTTGTCAAAACTTGCTCCCTTCTCTGGGGAAAGCTTTTTTTCTGCTTTCCGTAACTACCAAAAGTCTATATTAAAAAGTCGATGTGCTATCACGTGAGCTCTAGAATAATTATTTTATTTCTTAATAATTGATATATTTATTTACTCATTTGCCATTATTCAGTCCTGGATATTGGGGTATCTTAGACCTCACCGGAGAAAGTTTATTGAAACTAAAAGAAAAAGATATGGATTTATTATCACAAGACTTTTTCAACAGCATAAGATGGAATCCTGTCCCAGCTAATGAAACCCATCAGAATTATTTCAATATAAATTGCAGGAAGGTCAATAGTGGTGATATTGATTATGATGATAATCTCAATTATTTTGATTCAAATATTCAGTTTATGTATGTAACGTTTCTTTCATGAATAATTACCTGGTGTGTATTCTAACATTATATTTCTATTTCCAGAAAAAATAATATGTATTGTTTCAAGGGGGCAATGTCTGAAGAAGAATTAAAAACATGCACAACATTCCCTTTGTTCCGTGGGATATTTGCAAAGAATACTCATATCAAAGATTCTTGGTAAGCTATTGTATGTATTTGATTCATTCTATATGACACTGAATGTTACTCTTTCACATGTAGGGGGAAATACAGTCCTTTGCTAGCCAATCTCGTAGAAATCAAAACAAGAGTCCTTTTAAAAGAGCTCGTATTGGTCGGCGTGTAGACATGAAGGCACTATTATTGATGACCCCAATTAAGTTTGAAATAGTTTATGGAGAGGTATCTGGGGGATTGAATTCTTTTGGAACCCCATCTGCTTGTTATAAAAAACAATATCTTGATAAATTGAAATTGATGGTGTTGATGCGAGACAGCTTGAATAGTCTCTTTAAAGATTGTAAATATGTTACAGATGTTGAAAGAAAAAAAATAATTGTATACGGGTTAAGGTTGTGGGCGAAACCTCTTAATGACTGTCGAAACTCTGTCGAAACTCTAATGAACAATTAATGTGTAACCTGTCGAAACTCTGATGATTGGCGAAAACCCCAAATGCGAAACTCTGCCGAAACTCTAATAAACAATTAATGTGTAACCTGTCGAAACTCTGTTGATTGATTTCTGGAGGAGTTTCTCCCGCAACCTTAATACGGGTGGCTTCAAGTGGGTAGGCTTCAAAATAAACAACTGATACTTAGAATGTGAATTTAGATTTACTAATGGATGTATTATACAATTAATATTAAGGACTAGTAATTAGTTTTTATGCAATGAATTGGATCGGAAATGGAGTATATAGGATTGGGAAGGTGGATGAATGTCAATTACCAGTTGATGAACACATTGTAGTATGTTTGAAGACATATATTGCATCCTTAAGTGTTTGGAGGTAAGTTTCTATTGTTTTTTGTACATTATAGCCAATCTGCAGAAATTTTATTTATTTTAATTCCTGTAAAAATATAGGTTAAATTCATGGAAACAGAAAAGAACATTACTAATTTATTAACCAGTAATGTTCAGGGGAAGTGTAGATGTTTGATGGAGGAAAACCCTCCCAAGTTAAATGTAAATTCCACTCCTTAATAATGATTTTTATATTGTTTATTTCTAACACCTTTTTTACCACCTTTTTTAAAAAAATATTTACTTGTTTTTTTTTCTTTCACTTGGTTGGTAATCAGAATCAATTTATTAATATTATTTATAGCTGTTTTAAATTAACTAATTAATTATATTATATACAAAACTTTGCAATAAAATATACTCTTATTTTCAAAATTTTAAACAAATTTTTAATCTATATTTTATTAATAAACTCTTGTTTCGAATGATGAATAAAAAAAATGTTAGAGTAAAACTCCTACTGGATACACCAACAAAAGATGCCTTTTTTCCTTCCTCTTCTGTATCAATTTGTCCTCAACTTTTAAGCTACATCAGCAATTTTTTTGCATATAAAATCTATATAAATACACAATTTTATACAGAATTATCTATGTACAACTCTCAGTAATTTTCATGAAAGAAACGTTACATACATAAACTGAATATTTGAATCAAAATAATTGAGATTATCATCATAATCAATATCACCACTATTGACCTTCCTGCAATTTATATTGAAATAATTCTGATGGGTTTCATTAGCTGGGACAGGATTCCATCTTATGCTGTTGAAAAAGTCTTGTGATAATAAATCCATATCTTTTTCTTTTAGTTTCAATAAACTTTCTCCGGTGAGGTCTAAGATACCCCAATATCCAGGACTGAATAATGGCAAATGAGTAAATAAATATATCAATTATTAAGAAATAAAATAATTATTCTAGAGCTCACGTGATAGCACATCGACTTTTTAATATAGACTTTTGGTAGTTACGGAAAGCAGAAAAAAAGCTTTCCCCAGAGAAGGGAGCAAGTTTTGACAAATCCTATTAGGGATAATTGATGAGAGTAATGAGCATACAATATGCTTAGTCACAAATGCTTGTATGTAATAACAATGAATGTTTACCTCGCATATGCTATTTTCATCAATTAATTTTAGTAAGTCCTCTTCACTTCTTTCATCAAATAGTCTTTCTGTCATCTCCTCCTCAGCATCAATATTAAAAATGTCATCACTTGAATTTTTACATTTTGGAGTAGTTGTTGATGGCCATTCAGAAATTAAATAAAAAACAAATTTCATAAATAACTAGAATGGTGATAATTGCTATTTTTTTTATAATAACTAATTATAATACTTACTTGTATGCTTGTTCTTTAATCACCTTTTTTTTATTTCTTTTTTATCACGATTGACATTTTTTAGAAATGAAAAAATTAATTGGGTTGATGAAGGAAAAAAATAAAAAATTATAATGACAATGAGTTACGAGGATTGTAACCACCACCAGCATTCTCTTTAATAGAACTAGAGTGACGAGTGGCAATAACTACCATCCTTTTAATAAACATTTACCTTCTTTCAACCAATTCTTTTTCTTGAATTCTTTTTTTTGAAAAAAAAAGACATTTTTTTAATAATAACTAGAGTAACGACGAGTGGCGGGCGATAACCACCATCAACATCCTTAAAACACTTACCTGGCAAATTCTTTTTCTTCTTGGGTTTTGGTTCTTTTTTTCGATCCTCTTGAAGACATTTTATTTATTAATTTTTAAAAAGAAGTTTGTGTGATCGACGCGTACACATTAATTATTTATCCTATTGGTTTTTTTTTTGGTAGGACAGACGCGAATTGATTTTTTTTTTCTTCTTGGAAAAACAATTTATTTTTTGACAGAGTCCAAGGTGACAAAACGTGAACGTTGTTGTTTGGTTTGGTTTTGGGTCTCCTAAAGAAGAAGTGCTAATAACTAACCAGAGGTACCTTTTTTTACTTGTATTGATTGATATTTTATTTTGGTTTATAAACATTTTAAATTGGAAATCAAAACGCGGAGCAGATCTTGTTGGGCATTTACAAGATTTTCATTGATAATATTTTGCTTTTCGTAATCAATAATATTAATAATATTATTATATTATTATAATTACAAGATGTCAAGGCAGCATGACTACTATGTTCACACGAAAATCCTGTCTAAATTGTGATGATTATTCCAAGTTTGGTTGGTCTCGTATAACTTACAATCTCTCCCAATGATGATATACTTGCGATAAAAATCGCAACAAATTATTACAATTCATTTTAATTAATCCATTGGATTAGATTTATTAGGATGTTTTAATCATAGTAATGATGATAATAAGGACAAGTATTAACAAACTTCAATCAATTAATTAATTCGTCATTTAAAAGGATAGTTTCTCTAAAAATTTTCATGAAATGCAACAATCGTATTTGTCTATCTAGTTGAATATTTGGATTTTTGTTAGTTGTCATTGATGATGTTGTTGTTGTTAGGGGTTTCAATGAATTAGGAACGATTGGTTCAATTAACTTTAATTTATCTGTATTATCTATTTGTAGAGAGGGAAAAATGAAAAACAATATGTAAAAGCATACGCACAAAAGTAAATGATTAAATGAATAATTAAAGGAAATGTTTTATTTACCTTGTTTTTCATAAACTACTTTCCACTCATTTAACAAATTAATATTTTTATCATCCATTATTCTTCAGATGCACGAT